AAAGGAAACTGGTTTGTTTCTGCTTTGTTGGCAAGCAAAAATATTGATTGTTATAATAAAGTATTTTGTTGTCACGTACAATGTTTGGCGAAATGTTATCCTAGATCTTTTGAATCTTTTCAAATTATGAAGCTTTAAAAGAATTGGTATCGGTATCGAAATCGACGATACTGGCCCTTGTATTTATTTGGTATCAGATCGATACCAAAATACCCAGTATCGCCCACCTCTAGTTTGTACTGCAGGGTGGCCAATTGGGTGGCCAAAGATTTGTCTGTGGTGGCCATGGCCACCCCTGGCCACCCCCTGGCTCCGCCCCTGAGCACCTAGCAAAATGGRGTCATGCATCCTCACCTGGTTAGCTTAGATGGCACTATGGTTGGTGGACATTTTGTTGCATTCCTATTTCTCTGGATTTGACTTTAAAACAGACTGAAGAAGAAATAAGAATTTGCATAGTTTGGTTCAAACARTTAAGAACTGGAACCAGATCTATTTTTTTTCTCTTTTAAATTTTAGTATGAATTATCTTGTGTGCTTGTTTTGTGTGGTTTGAGTTAGTTTTCCTCAGGAAGCCYCCTGTGTGGGCACTGAGGATCAGAGCTCTGGTGAAGTCTCGCTGCCTTCTCTCTCCAGGGGCTGACTCCGGAGCAACGGGCCGCTCATGCTGACGGCTGCAGGCGGATCGGTGGATTGTGATGCCTGCTGACTGCAGCGCTCTTAATCCTTAGCTTCTCCCTGCGTTCTGCTGTTGCTCTTTGGAACAAAACTCAATCTGAGCGTGAGGTTGCGCGCTCTCTGCGTCCTCGTAGGAGGTGAACGAAGGTGATGCTGACTGTTTCAAGGCCGGAGGACACRGATGACCTGTTGCTGCTGCTATAACATGTCTCAGATATATTCAACACAACGCTGTGCATTTTGACTCTCCTCAGGTCTAAAAATGTCTCATTTCTGTTGGTGAAATGTCAGTTACTGTATGTACTTTTTATAAATGTGACAGGGTAACACTAGAGGTTAAATCATTTGTTAGAACCTAGGTGGAAGATTGCAGAAACTGGACCTCAGAACCTCAGAGACTCCATRAGGTTTTCATTGACTCTTACTTATTTAAGCTCAATTTAATAATTTATCTAGTTTTAAGTATTTTTTATTGCTGCTGCACAACCAAAGGTAATCGCAACTTTTATTTTTTTCACGTAACTCTTTTATTTCAACACTTCTTGATGCTGTAATAATGAATGTGTTGTAATTCTTACACCTGTTACTGTTTATGTATTTTAGTTTTTGAGTCACTTATTATATTTTGTATTTTGTCTAGAATTTAAGATATTTTATTAATTTTTCTTTTTGGTTTGTTTTATTTATGCAGTAAGTTATTTTTTATTTAATTTAATTTATACCTATTTGTATTGTATTTATTTTTATAGAACTATGTTCTCTCTTTTTTTAGAAGTATACCCAAAATTATTGACTGCAAACTCAAATAAAAAATATAATAAAGCAACAAGGTCACGAGAATTATGGTCTGTTTGTTGAATTTGACTCAYTTTCAGATCTTTAATTTCTCTAAGAGGTCAGATTTTATCCTAATTGGATGAGGTCTGATTTTTCCTGATGATATATTTTCCTATTGTTTCAGGAGGAAAGGSAGAGGAAGATGAAGAACATGGAGGAGCGGATGAAGGAAATCGAACTCTCGCTGAGGAATGTCAAGATTCTGCTGAAGGAYAAGGTCGCTCAGCTGAAAGACCAGGTCTGTTCCCATTTTATTTATGAAATACATGCTGTTTTTCAAGGGYCAGCAAAGTGCCAGACGTTTTCAAAGTTGGAAACTTAACTTAGATATTTACAGGATTTTATGGGGAAAAACATGGACCTGGTTGGTTGTTAACAGAGAATTTAGTTCAGGATAATATATTTTAGCATAATCTTTACTTAAATAATTGAATTTCATTATTGTGCCATGAAATGAGAAGAACCAAAAGCCTAAAATATGATCAGCTGTCACAATAGCTGTGTTTCCATTGCAAATGTGCGCAAAACTTTGTCGATATTCTTTTAATGTTGTAGGGGTTGGGCTTATGTTCAAATAAGCCTCCTCTACATACTTCTCATAAMCTCATAACAAAGTTATGAGAGAAATTTTTACCAAGGTTTTTCTCATTACTTTAATATTTGACTGTGCAAATTGAAGAGCGACACAAAGAGTGAACGTCAGACGAGTTCAAGTTGATTCATAAAAGAATATGCAATCATTTATTTACACAAATTGAACAGATCATAAGTTACACTTGATTGTGGGTTTCC